GTGATGATGTGGATGATATGTTGATGATGCTGGCGCTGCTGCTGATGATGATGATGGTGATGATGATGCTGCTGACGATGAGGACGATGTTGATGGTGATGATGATGATGATGATGATGATGATGGTGGTGGTGGTGGTGGTGATGAGGATGACTATGTTGACGACGACGATGCTAATGATGATGATGTTGATGATGATGATGATGCTGATGCTGATGCTGATGATGCTGCTGCTGATGATGCGGCTGCTGATCATGCTTATGATTTATGGTGATGATGCTAATGATGATGCTGATGAGCATGCTGTCGATGATGATGATGCCGGTGCTGCTGCTAATGATGATGATGCTGATGTCGATGCTGATGACGATGCAGATGATGATGATGATGATGTTGATGATGATTATGATGGTAAGGGGGTTGGGTATGATGATGATGATGACGATGCTGGGTATGATGATGATGATGATGATGACGATGATGATGATGTTGATGATGCTGCTGCTGTTGATGATGATTTTGGCGGTGATAATGCTGCTGATGGAGAGGGTGATGCTGATGATGATGATGGTGGTGGTAGTAGTGGTGATGATGTTGAACATGATGACGAAGATGATGATGATGTTGATGATGATTCTGATGATGCTGATGATGATGCTGCTGTTGATAATGATGATCACGATTCTGATGATGATAATGCTGCTGATGCTGATACTGATGATGATGAGTATGAGTTCTACGATGATGTTGCTGATGCTGCTATTGATGATGTTGATGATGAGGATGCTGATGTTGATTATGATGATGCAGATGATAATGATGGCGATGCTGACGATGATGATGACGATGATGATTCAGCCGATGCTTACGATGATAATGATTATGGTGAGGATGATGATGATGCTAGTGCTGATGATAGTACTGAGGATGATGATGGCGATGTTGATGATGGTGATGATGATGCTGACGATGCTGCTGATGCTGATGCTGATTATGATGATGCTGCTGGTGATGATGATGGCGATGAAACTGATGATTATGCTGATGATGGTAGCGGTGTTGGTTCTGATGCTGATGCTGATGGATTAGATGACGAAGCTGATGATGTTGATGATGATGATGCTGATGCTGATCATGATGGTGTTGCTGATGCTGGCGATACTGCTGCTGCTGATAATGATGATGAATATGATGACGAAGATGATCCTGATGATGATTATGATGCTGATGATGCTGATGATGATGCTGATGATGATGAAACTGATGACGACGCTGATGATGCTGCTACTGCTGCTAATGATGACTCTGATGATGATGGTGATTGCGATTATGCTGCTGATGATGAAGATTCTATAGTCGATGATGGTGATGATGCTGATGCTGATGTTGCTGATGATGATGATGATGATGATGATGATGAAGCTGATGCTGCTGATTATGATGTTGATGATGCTGATGATGCTGCTCCTGATGATGATGATGATGATGAGGATACTGGCGATAATGATGCTGGTGATTCTGACGATGCTGATGATGCTGATGCTGATGATGTTGATGCTGATTTTGATTGATGATGCTGATGATACTACTGCTAATGTTGATGATTCTGATGACGATGTTTGTGATGATGATGCTGCTGATGTTGATGATGATGATGATGCTGATAATGATGATGATGATCATGATGAGGAATATGATGAGGGATATGAATGTGATGCTGCTGACGATGATCATGATGATGATGGTAGTGATGATCCTGATGCTGATGATCCTGATGATGGTGACGGTGCTGATGATGGTGCTGATGATGATGCTGATGATGCTGATGATGATGATGATGACGGTGCTGCTGCTGCTGCTGATGATGACGATGATGCTGAGGATGGTGCTGACGCTGGTGATGCTGATGCTGTTGATGATGGATTTGATGATGATGATGCTGATGATGCTGCTGATGTTGGTGATGATGCTGCTGATGATGATTATGCTGATGATGATGCTGATAGTCATGATGATGCTGCTGCTGATGAGGATGATGAAGATGGTGGTAATGGTGCTGATGATGATGCTAGTGCATATGATAACGAAGATGATGACGCTGATGATGAGTACGGTGATGACGACGATGTAGCTGAAGACGATGACGCTGATGGCGCTGCTGCTAATGATGCTGCTGCTGCTGATGATGAGAAGGCTGATGCTGATGATGTTGCTGCTGATGATGATGCTCATGATGATGAACACGATGACGACGATGATGTTGCTGATGTTGCTCAAGATGGTTCTGATGTTGATGCTGATGCTGCTGCTGATGATGATGCAGATGCTGATGATGAAGCTGATGATTTCGATGATGATGATGATGATGTTGCTGATGTTGATGATGATACTGACGCTGCTGCTGCTGATGATGATGATGATGATGACGATGATGATGATGATGATGATGATGATATTGATGATGTTGATGGCGATGTTGATGATGCCGATAATGCTGCTG